TCCATCCATCTATCCACCTATCCATCCTATCCTCCCTTCCTTCTTCCCTCCCTCCACCTATCCATCCTTTCCTCCCTTCCTCAATCCTTTCCTCCCTCCCTCCCTCCCTCGCTTCCTTCCTTCCTCCCTCCATCTATCCATCCTTTCCTCTCTTCCTTCCTTCCTCCCTCCATCTATCCCTCCCTCCCTCCCTCCCTTCATATGAACAAATGAATGAACGTGACAATGCTCTGGCAGCAGACACCTTGTCTCAGTAAGTGTACCTGGGATGTCCTCCTCCTTGAATATCCGTTCCTTCAGCTGCAGGACAGTTGTTTTCTGCAGCTCCTCTGCGTTGCTGAAACTAAACCGGATCATTTTATCATCCTGGTCCCGAACAAAGACCTGGACGTTTCCCATTTTCTGATCCTCTTCTTCTGCACCTGGGTTTAAGACAAATGCTTCAGTTGATTGATTTCTGAGGAAACAGCAGGACTTGATGTCAGAAACGTCCACTTTTTATTTTCAACTTATTTTGATTAAAAAAAAAAAACACATCTCCATAAGTAAGATAAACCAGTTCACAGGTCATTTTATGAACCCTTAATGATGCTGATACACATGTAGTTTAGTCAGCTTTGTGTTTTAACATTATGAGAATTAAGTTTAATTTAATATGAGCATTGTTGTATAAGTTTAATAGTAAATATTACAGAAACAATGGATGGGTTTGGCCCTCGACTTTGACCTAGGTGTTTTATGACCTCCTGAGTAATGAACAGCTTGATGTTGACAGATGTCTGAAATAAGTTGATTGTGTGTGTTTGCTTTTTAAAGTATTTTTCCATTTGAAAACCATCTTAGTGTTACAGGAGTATTTAGCTTCTTCTGGCGACCGACCAAAATAACGGAAAGTGTCACTTTCAACAAAAACTGTAATTTATATGAAGACATAACAAACGTTTACAAAGGAAGAAAAACGTAAACTTACCTTCAGACTCTAAATAAACCCTCGGGAAAAACTTTCTCGACTCTTTACTGATGGTTCGTCTCCTGAATTTTAAAACTGGTTTACTTTCTTTTTCGCTGCCTCGTTTCGCTCTAATGCGCATGCGTCAAAACGAGTGGGCGTTCCAGTTAAAATTTTCAGACTCGTAACAAGTTTCCGGTCGGCGCTCACAACAGCGACAACGATAAACAGTTATAAAAAGTCATACTCCAGTTTTTTTTTTTCTCCTTCTTTCCAAACAAATAGGATGGCTAAAAACAAACAAAAAAAGTAACAAAAAAAACAAACAAAAAAAACAGCTAGATTATAAGGCGAATGTAGAAAACTAAAAACAGGAACATGTCAGCATTGGTCCCTGCCAGGAGTCCAACAGATTTTTAAAGCCACTTAGAGAGGTCAAGGTCGAGAGCTTCAAATGTTTTTGTAAGATATTCCAGGAAACAGGAGCAGAGTAGGAGAAGGCCCTTTTGCCAAGTTCAGTCCTCACTGAGGGAACACTGCAGGTAATAATGTCCTGAGAGCGCACGCTGTAGCTGCACTCACGCAGAGACATGTAGGAGGAGATGTATGAAGGCAGCAGAACAAGAAGTGATTTAAAAATGAAAATGTACCAGTGAGAGTCTGCGTGAAGTTAATGATGTCCAGTTAACTAGTGAATACTGGGTGCAGTGGCGGGTACGATAATCACAGCCAGTTATGAATCTTAGTGCACCATGATAGACAGCATCCAACATCTGCAGGGTTCTTGTAGGAGCGTTCATGTAAATAATGTCACCGTAATCAATGGAGGGAAGGAGAGTCACAGATACAAGGCGTTTTCTAGCATTCAGGGTTAGACAGGATCTGTTTCTGAAAAAGAAACCCAGTTTAACTTTCAGTTTCTTTACCAAGTTTTCCACATGGAGCTTAAAAGAGAGATGTGAGTCGACCAAGATACCCAAATATTTATAGGACTCAACAAACTCAATCGGGACACCATTTGAGGATAAAATCGGAGGAAGAACTGCTGGGACCAACTTCCTATTTGAAAAAAGCATCCCTTTGGTTTTGTCGGCATTTAGGACAAGTTTGAGGCGGAACAAATCAGTCTGGATGATGTTGAATGCAGATTTCAAAAGCTGGAAAGCCTTAGCAACAGTTTTAGCTCGACAATAAACAACTGTGTCGTCAGCATAGAAATGTATGGATGCATTAGGGATGTTTTTACCTACATTGTGTATGTAGATTGTAAAGAGGGTGGGTCCTAAGACTGAGCCTTGTGGTACACCATTGTTGACTGTTAAATAACTGGAGGAAGTACCATTATGTTGACCACAATGGTGTGTTCTGAGAAACCGATTTCTGAGAGTTTATGACACAAGATGTTATGATCCACAGTGTCAAAAGCTTTAGACAGGTCTAAGAAAAGTGCAGCACAATAATCCTTAGCGTCCAGTGCTTCAACAACGTCATTAAGAACCTTCAGTGAAGCAGTCGTTGTGTTGTTTCCTGAAACCAGACTGATGTGGAGGTAAGATGTTAAATGAGTCCAGGTAATTTTTGATTTGAGAGTTTATCAGTTTTTCTAGAACCTTGGCTAAAATGCAGAGTTTAGAGATTGTTCGATAGTTGTTCAGTGAGGGGGGGTCTCCTCCCTTCAGCAACGGAAGAACAAAGGCTGTTTTCCAAGTGTCTGGGATGGAGTTTTGTCTTATGGAGAGATTGAAGATGTGGGTCACAGGGACTGTGATGATATGAGCAGCCAGCCTTAAGAAATAAGGTGGAAGTTCATCTGGACCTGCAGATTTTTTAGGATCAAGACCTTTTAACAGTTAATTGACCTCACTGACTGAGAATGGAGAAAAAGAGAAGCTGTGATTAACTGAGGATTGACTTGTAGGAGGGATTTGATTTGTAGAAGTTTGATTATTAAGCGAATTTAAAGTGATAAATAAACAACTTAATGTTGTTTTTTATGTTTGCACATGGGCAAACAAGCATTGTAATTTACAATGCAACTAAATTCCCTTTTTGACGCCTAAGTGGGCATATTTTATACAAATAGGGAAAGAAGTGAAATGACTCAACATAGTTCCAAACAAAAAGTGCTATTTTCTTGTTTAAAACAACCAAACAAAAAAAAAAAAATTTGATTATTTAATTATTGTTTACATTTTTTTAAATCTTGATTAAGAAGTATACAAGTTACATTTAGTATGAGTTGTTAAAAATTATTCCGATCGAAATAGTAGAAAATGTGTCCTTCCGCCACACTGCCTCATCACACCAGTAACGGTCAGCGCATGGATATATAAATCCGCTCCTCTCGCGCCGCAGGTGTGTTGTGGTCTTAATCAGGGTTGTGTCTTCTAACGGGCGGACTGAGCGTTATACGTTTATTGTTTAAAACTTTTTTAAATAATTCAGAATTAAAAAGAGGATAAACATGCCACCGCGGCGGCAGAACCTCGCGCGGAACAGCCAGAACACACAAGAATTACAGAGTCGTGGAATGCGGCGCACCAAGCTAGCTCTTTTCATCAAACAGGTGGAGAAAGAAGGTAAGAGTTTAAAAAGAAATGACCAGGAGTGGAGTGTGACAAGGCCAAGAGGTGCTCGCAGTGTTTTCATCACGCTCTTTCAGCACAGGAACGCATGAACGAGATGAAGTCCAAACTTGATGACATGTTGGACACGGTGGACAAAGTCTTCCAGGTGGAGCTGATGAAGATGCCTCCTTCTCTTCAGGACACGCCGCTGTCAGAGTTGTTAAGTGGTGAGGCTTTTGGCTTTGTTTAAAGACTAACATGGGATTTTTTATTTTTTTTTTAAACCGCTGGCGTGTGCGATACCGATATCGATGTGTTCGATATCGATCCGATAAATATCGATTATCGCGGTTAATAATCCCAGTTCAAGATGGCCGTCACAGCTTTTATTGACCGTAGCCAATAAAAAGGCTAACTTTACAGCACATGTGGTGTTGACATTTGGTGTGGTAGAAACTCGACTTCAAACAGCTTTACTCAACATTGTTAGCAAAATATATCACAAACCACAAGATGGATTTTATTGAAACTGAATAATTGGTTGTATGTTTTTTTTTTTTTAAGTAATGGTGTTAATGTTTATGAAGCATTCACACTATTGTGATCCGTTTTCTTATGTACGTTTTTCTGCGTCGTACTCGTCCCGCAGTTTTCAAGCTGTTTCAACAAATCGTAAAACGTTTAACTCCTTCAGAACAATCCTGACTTTTGGTTTTAGTGCAACTTTAGCTTTTTCAAATATTTAGCCTTTTCTGCCAGTTTTTTCCTCCATAGAAAATGAATTGAGCTCATTTTACATCTTTCAAATATTCAGATCTGTTCACGACCTTTTACTGCTTCATTTTGTTCTGGTTCAGCTTCTTTCAGATTCCTTGTGCAAATTTAAACTTTTTCCCCCCCAGCCATTTTCAGCAAATTTCAGCTGTTTTGGGCTTTCAGATTCTTTCTGCCAACTACATTTTTGTGCTTCCAACTTTCTGTAAATTTCAGCTTGTTGTGCTCATTTCAGCTTATTTCTGCTAGTTTCAGCGTTTTCTGCTAGTTAGCTGTTTTTATGCTTTGAGCTTTTTCTGCTAATTCCACTTTTTTATTTTATTTTTTTTTTTATTTTATTTTTTTTTGCACACATTTCAGCTTCTTTCAGGCTAATTAAGCAAAATGTGCTCTATCCACTTACTACTGGTAATTTACTGGTAAGCTTCTTTCTGCCCTTTTTTGTTGTTGTTAAGCTGTTATTGCTTATTTTAGAAAATTTCCACTTTTTTGGGTATTTCTGCTTCTTTAAGCCTTAATGGGCAAACGTGTTTCTACTTTCTTGGACTAAAATAAAGTTATTCTCTTTTTTTTTTTTTTTTTTTCTTGTTGCTAATTTTAGCCGTTTTAAAAAAATTTTCATGGCAATTTCTGCTACTTTCAGCTTTTTAAGCTACTATTTAACGGTGTTATGCTAATTTTATCTTTTTCAGTTCCACTTTTTTTTCTAGCTCATTTCAGATTTTTCTGCTTCCTTCTGGTAGTTTAAGTTTCTTTCTGACTTTTTGGCGAGTTGTTGCTATTTTCAGCCTTAATTTTTATTTATTTAGCTATTTTCCTAATTGTGCTAATTTGTTTAAACCTAACTCAGCAAATGTGTTGTGCTTATTTATGCTTATTTCATTTTAGTTAAATTTCAGCATATTTTTAGCTTTTTTTTTTCTCCAGCAATTTCTTCAGCAATACAATTTTTTGCAGGAAATGCAGTTTCTCGTTAATATTTGGATTCAATTTAAGGTAATTTAAAATGGATGCCACAGCTATTTGACCTTGGTGAACACAGAAATGGTTGCGAGTCAGCCTGTTTTCCCAGATGAGCTAAAATGTGTTGTGGTAAATGAGCACACTCGTGTTTCAATCTCTTGCATGACAGCTGGCAGGCGGTTTATGTTTTAACTTTAGTTTTTGAAGGAATTAATTGACGCTTGTTTGATAGAGGAGGAAATCTCATCCAGTGAGGTATCGATAGCCATGAAGGTTAGTTAATTTTATTAACATCACTTTGTTGCTGTTCGGTGTTCTTTGTCTTTAAATCAATGAACTTTTTCAGAGCGAGTCCCGTGAGATGATTCAGCCCCTCAAGCCAATTCCCAGCAGAAAACGTAATTTTTTTTATTTTATTTTTTGTACTGGTTCATTTATCTTTAAAGTGATGTTTGTTTCATTTATTGAAAGTGTGGTTCTGTGGAAACGCCATGGTCATTTTGTCTGTTGTGGGCAGATCTTTGAACAATTTTAGTAGATTAATATATATTTTTTTTCTTTCTGATTGATGAGCGAACGGCTAGTTAAAGCATCACCCGGACAGCAGTGAGCTGTAGACTCTTAGAAACGACTGTAATCTTATTAGAGGTTCATATAAACGTGTATTTAACACCACAATCCAAAGTTAAGTCTGGTCCTCTAAACGGTTTCTTTTGGTCGAAACACCACCACACCACATTCCCCCCCCCCCTTTTTTTTTTTTTTTTAAATATGGCTTTTTAAACTGAAATGATATTGCTGCTAAATCCTCAAAATGATTTTTGAAAGGAAAATCGGCCACTTTTTTTTTTTTTTGTAAAACCCAACCATACCTGACAAATGCTAAACTAATTTCAGAATAAATTCACTTGCTCCCAAAGACTCCCAGGCACTTTACTGCCCTCTAGTGTCTTTGGGGGAGGGGAAAGTTACTGTACTGAAATCAATTATAAATGCATTTTTAAATCTAAAACTTGTGTCATAAATATATATATTTTTAAATACCTCTAGCCACTTTGAGTTTTTGTTAGCTCACTAGGTGGTCCTTCTTTCTTGTTGCTGGGCAAAGTGCAAAACGCCTCTTTAGCAGCTATTGGCGGCTAGCCTGAGCCTCATCTCAACTGAGAAAATCTGTTTATTTGTTCTGGTTTTTGTGGTGTAAAGACAAAAACACTTTTTTACACGAGTAAACATTTGGTACAAAACTGTAGATCCACATGCCTGCAGGCTGAAGACGCCTGACCGGAGTCAGCTCCTCCTCAATCGTCTGAAACTGCTCTTGTGGGCTTGACTGAAAGCAAAGCCTCGTTGGGGACTCGGCAGAACTAAAGTGGTTAAGATTCTGTCCATTGAGGGGGCTGGTGTATTTATAGGCGTCTCAATAACATGTACAGGCGTGTGCTGATGGAAGTAGTTCATCAAGCATGGCTTCATATCTTGAAAAACGGGAACTTTTTGTAAACTTTAAACGAATATTAAATTTTATGTTTACCTGTGGAAGTGGTGGTGTTTCGAGCATGACCTTTGACCCCTTCTGTGTTGCATGCTATAGACTGTCTTGGATGTATTAAACTATGTCCAAGTATAGGTCCCTGTAAATACTAATGTACAACGGGTACGATTCTTTAACTTTTCCACAGAAAACCCCACTTTAAAAAAACTGAACTATTAAGCACAATAACTCGGCTGAAACTGTTTTTACAGAAAACCATCTGAACTCATTTATTCGTTTCTGATTTGAAGTCAAATCAACAGATTCTACTCCAGTTGAAGTCCAGAGGACGTCTTCCAAAACTCTGAAGGTGAGCGGTGGAGCACAACGTTTGGCCTTTAACCTTTAAATTTACCGTTGGTTTGGCTAATGCTTGATTTGATGTTTAAAGGGTAGGAGAGCCAAAAAGAACCCAACGTTGGCTGGAAGTAACAGCACCGGTACTCTGTAAGATCAAGAAAAGTTGTACAAGTTGGATGAAGTTGAAGAACTCGACTGACAATTTGTCTATTTTTAATTTTTATTTGTAGCGCTTCCACTCCGTCACTCAGAAGAGTTCAGAGCTGTTTGACAAATCGTAAAATCACGGAGCAGACGGCACCGAACCAGACGAATCGTAGACTCAGGTCAGTTGGTGCCGTCATGAATGGAAACGTGTTGAGGTGCTGAATGACCGAATGCTCGTTGTCGCAGGACCGTCATGTCCGCCAGTGATGTGCCCTGTACGATGGCACGACCTGCGGCACACGTCACGGTGACGACGGCGCAGGGAGAGGTAAGTGAGTTTTAACATGAGCCTGTTTGAGTTTGTCGCCAAAACACCGGTCTGACCACGGAGTGAAAACCTTTAACCAATGCCCTGTTTACATGACATGGTTTCTGAGTGAAACTGCAGCTTTTCTTCCAAGCAGGTCTCAATCTGAGCTGGATCCTGCCGTTACAGGATCTGGGAACACTCTCTTATTTTGGCAGGGTCTGTTCTGGGAACTGTTTGCTTGGATCTGGTAACTCAGGCTTGCTAATAATGTTTTGAACAAACTTGACTGCCTTGAACAAATAAAGCCTATACTAGATATTTAATCTGAAAATAATCTCAAACACTAATTTTAAACACAACAGCCACTTACGAGCTTCCTTCAAGTAAGCATCAACATTCTGTTTACGACTCTGTAAAAGTAATGTTTCTAAAGTCATCGTGTAATTAAGTACTAACTCAATAACTACTATATCAATACTCCGTATCTGCAAGGACCCAAATGGCTGTTTTTGTACTCTGGGGAGAAAAAAAAACTAGTATTGGGACTCCTGATTTTAAACCCTACGTAACAAAAGGGTTTGTCAGGATTTTATCAAGGTGCTCACAGTGAAGCTGAGTGAAACGGCTACAGTTACTTTTGTTTTTATATATTTTTGTTTTGTAGATGGTCAGTTTTTCTGAAGAGACTAAAGACGACATTAACTGGGAATTACTTGACGATGTTGCTTGGTGCCAAATTCAGAAGCTTACGGTAACGAAGCTCAACTTAATGTGTCACAATGTTCGATTCAAAGACTTGAACAAAATTAATTAAACGATGGTCAGTCGAGTCATCTGGATTATTTTTTTTTGTTCGGACGTTTCACAAATTATTAATGCGCTTCCCTCTCCCCCCCAACTTGGTATTTTCAGAGACTGATGGAGTATTTGACGCAGCAGAGTCACTGCCAGCGATGAGTTTAAGATCTCCATAAGGATGCTGTTCTTGGACTTGAGACATTGATTCCTTAATTTTTAAGAAAACTAAAAGTTATGAATAAAGATTTATATTTTTAAAGACTAATAAAGCTTGCTGGTCTTTTAGCACGACTACACTAACGTAAAAACACGTCTCGAGTTAAAATCTTTAAACAGAAACATGCTGGTCACAAGTTTCTCAAAGTTTTTATTTTTAGTTCCAGTAAAACTTATAAAGAAATAAGCACAGATTAAAATTGGCCTCCAGTATAAACTTAAGACTCAAATTACAAGTTTATTGGCTGATTTACTGTTTGCAGCTGAACATGTAGCAGATAAAAATAAATCCTGCCTAACCAAAAAACCTTCAGCTTTCAATAAAGCTACTTGTCCAGTCTAATCAATATTTCAGATTTCAAACTTTATTATTTTTATAACGTCACTTTTCCCTTGTTGTGTTCATCTTTACTAAAACTTCCATTGAGGATATCAGAAATAAAATGGCTGGAAACTCATTTCAGGCATTTGATTTTTATGAAATTATTTTCATGTCTCATTTTCAAGTTACTTTTCATCCCATCAAGTTCTTGCAGAATATTTTTATTAATCATTCCAATAACGCCAACTATTTAATCACCTTTTTTTTTATTTTTTATTTTATTTTATTTTATTTTTTATATAAAGTCTGTTTGCTGCCCGTTGATCAGTCCCATCTTAAGCCCTCCACATCTCTCGGGTCCTCAACCTAAAACCCACAATGGGGTGGAACAGGCTTAAAATTTTTATAAAGCAAAATGTCTCTTGGTAATTTTTTTTGTTATTTAAATGCCTTGCATTCATTTATATTTGAT